TACAGGGTTGACCAGCACCCTATTCAGGCCAGTCTTTGGGTGCTGTTGAGGGAAAGCATGGTGTCTGGAGCTTTGGCAGCCAACTGGGGCCATGAAGGAAGTCACTAAGACACCTGTTCACAGGGCTGCTGAACCATCCCTGGGAAAACCATCCCTGGTCCCCATGTTTTGTGAGATGAATCTCATGTTTCATCAATGTTTACATAACATAAAGAGAGTCAATATTGTTTTCTGCCAGCATTTGCAGCCCTCTGCCTCTTGGGCACGTGGCAGGATCGTAGCTCACTGAGCTCTACTGGCTGGGTGGAGCTATGCAACCTATTCTGACCAAAGGGCTGGGATGTACCCCTACCAGGATGGACTGTTTAATTGCCTGGCAAGAGCTCTTGCCCTCTGCCACAAGGAATGGTGGCTGCTCTAGCAGCAGGCTTCCATAAGTAATCACGGCGAGCAAAGCTCCTGACCAACCCGCAACGTGTACAAAGTGAGCAAAACCAGTCAAAAAAGCTGGAGCTCCAGCAGCCTTTTTGGTCCATAAGGCAGCCGTGAGGAAGGCGCCCCATGCCGAGAATGACACAGCAAAGATGGAAGGATTGGTGAGGACATGTGAACCTGTACTGCTGACTTCTAGACTTTTCAAGCGAGAAGTATGAGCTACTATCGAGCTGAAGCCACGGTCGTTTCTGTTTCTATTCCATGTGGCCAAATATAACTCCTACCTGATGCAGAGCATCTGGGAAATGCCTTGTTTTTTTCTGATGAGGACAGATGTGACTGGCACCCTGTTTGCCCCCTTCTTCCTGCCTCAAAAGGCAGATACAGGAGCTGCAGCTAAATCATTAAAAAATTACCAGGGCACGCAAAGGAGGGTCTCAACAATCTGGGCCCCGACATTGCCAGCCAAGGCCAGCAGCCTCTTTGAGTGTCTTGTAAAACGAGAAAAATAAACTTGTCTGTTAACTTGTCTTCTGCCAGATTTTGTGTTCCCTGGAGCTAAGCGTATTCTGCGTGTGTGCCTTTTCCACTGCAGTCTACCTCAGTGAGTTTTTTTTCTTTTTTTTTTTAAGATTTTATTTATTTCTTCATTAGAGACACACAGAGAGAGGCAGAAATTTAGGCAGAAGGAGAAGCAGGCTCGCGAGACTTGATCCCAGGACCCCAGGATCACAACCTGAGCCAAAGGCAGACGCTCAACAACTGAGTCACCCAGGAGCCCCCCTCAGTGGGTTTGTGTTAGTCAAAAATAAGATTGCCGAAGAGGACAGTCACATTTTCAAGAGAGGCACTCAGCCGACCTGTGAAGCTGACAAAAAACGCAGAATGCTCGATGCTTCCTCCTCAACCCTGGCTTGAGCAGAGTTCTGGAATCTCCATTTGTCACTCACACACACACACACACACACACACACACACACACACACACACACACACTCGCCAGGTTATTCAAACCCCCACTGCCCCAAGTGAGGCTTCATTCTCTCTACCCCTGGCACACCATTCTAACCTTCTTCCTGACCTCCCTGCCTCCAACTTCCCTCTATTCGGACCTGCCCATTCCCAGCACGGTCTCTCAGGAGAGCTTTCCACACCCACACGCTTCTCCTCCCATGGTTCCCCCAGGGCCTCTAGAAACACCATGCAAGCTTCCCAGTCGGGCATTTCAGAATCAACCATCTTCCCAGCAAACCGCTCTACAGAGACACCCCATTTCCTCCTGCCATCCCTGAAGTATTTTCTTGCTCCCTTATCCTTAGAGTTCCAGCGCAAATGTCTGCTTCCTCCAGAAAGGGGCAGGCCTCTGGAATCAGAGAGTCTGGTATCAAACTCAAGTTCCAACACCTCCTAGCTTTTTGATCTTGCAAAAGGAACTTCCAATCATTGTGCCTCAGTTTCCCAAAGTAGAATGGGGGTGAAGACTGAGGCAGGGTCTAAGTCAGACTCCTCTCTGGGTCCCAGCAAAGAGCCTGGTGACAAAAAGCCTCAGGAGCCTCTAAGAACAAGAAGGGCAAAGTATGGCACCCAGGGTAGGAAGGTGTCCTGGGAAGTGGGTGAGCCACCTGGGTCAGGGTGTGTTTCCTCTCTGAAGGGGACATGCCACACCCCTTCAGGCTCTTGTGGACCGAGAGCTCGTGGAACCCGAATCCACAGGCCACGCTGTCCTCTCGCACCCTGGCAGGGCTCTCCTAAGAGGAAACAGATGAGGAAGCAGCTGTCCCCTAGGCTACGAATCTCATGGTGTCAGCTTTCTTTTGCTAGGGCATCTTCAGCCCCATTTTACAGACAAGAGGAAACCAAGGAGCAAAAAGAACCTAGATCCCAACAAGGATCACACAAGCTCCAAAAGTAAGTCTGGGTTTGCATCCAGGTCCTTCAAACACCTTCCACTGCCTGAACCTGGAAAAAAGCGAGTGGAGAGACGAGAAGAGAGAAAAGCCTACCTTCTTGGAGAAGAGAATTTGGGTGGAATCTCCAGCCTCCTCTACAGGAACCCAATGCAGGAGAACATCGCTGTCCTGAGGAAAGAAAAGAGGAATTAGAGAGACTCCCCTCCAATCACCGCAAGCTGTATTTCTGTACTTCTTCCCCGGCCCGGACCCTCGGGCTTACAAAGCCCCCTTTATACCCCCAGTCCGCACTCCGAGCCTTCTTAATGTCCCATCGTGACCTCCTAGATCATACTCTTATAGACGCCGCCTCCATCCCGCCCAGGGCCCGCCGGAGCCCTGCTCCCTCCTGGCCCACCTTCTCCACAACGCGGATGACGCCAGCGATGAGGGAGTCCGGGTCCTGGTGCTTCTTGGCGCTGGTGTGCAGATACACACCACCCTTCTCAAACACCACCTGGGGACACAAATCGGTGAGGGGCGGGACCCAAGCGCAGGACAGCCAGGGGGCGGTGCCCAGAGGAACGTCCCAGCCGCCGGGGGCGGGGCCACAAGGTAAGGGTCTTCCCTAGGGCAGCAGAGGGGAGGGTGACAGTATTTATAAAGGAATGGTGTCTTTGCTCGGGCTCAGCCGGGCTCCCAGAGCTCCGGCAGGGCGTTGGGCGAAGCCGACTACCAGAGGGCGTCGCTTCGCATCCCCAGGAGGGAAAGAACGCGTTCCCAGTGCTTACCCTGTAACCGGCTCCCTCCATAGCCGCGGCCGAGGTCCCACTGCCCCGGTCCTCTCCCTTTCCGGGTCACCGTGCTGTCACATCCGGATAGGAGACTCCCCTCAAGCCTGGACAGTGGTAGCACCCTTGCCTGTTCTAGAACAGGAGTGGACGTAACCACCTTTCAGAACGGGGTGGCTGAACTTGAACCACGAGGGTGTAAGTCACATGGCACGCACGGGAAAGGAGGGGCAGGCCAGCGAGAGTGCGCATGCGCAGTGCTGCTTCCCTCACCAAGGAGTAAACAAGGGGGAGGATCCAAGGGCTCCACCCCCTCGCCCCAGCGCTCTCCGAAACACCTCCTTCTTTCTCCATATTGTATACTGGCATCGAAGCCAAGGAGATTCCATTTTGCTCGAGGGCACGGCCAAAGCTTGTCAGCTACGGCCATGTTAATGCGGGGCAGTCCCATCTCTCTGAGGGGCGCAACAGCAAGGTCCTGGAAAAGAGACGGGTAAAGGAAAAGAAGGTGAGAGGAGGCGTACGTCACGAGAGGTGCTGAGGGACTTGGGTTAACGGGATGAAGCCGTCAGTATCCCCGGGTACGAAGCGGACCCAGTCGAATTCCTGAGTCACCGTCGGGAGGCGGCGGTGTGGGCCGCCATATTGAAGCCTGGCAAAGCGAAGCAAAAAAAGTTGCCATATTGGATTTTCCCCAGCATTGGTGCTGAAGGGGGATAGGCTGGAGGGAGAGTCCATGTACGCTTTGGGCAAGTGATGCTAGGATGGTTGCCATGTCGTTAATGGGCACTACTTTCCTCCATTTCTGTGGAAGAAGTTGACAATGGGTGAGGGGCGTCAGGTCGCTGGCCTTAGTTTACTGTGGTCCTGAGAATACACGTGCCGACGGCCGTATTTCTTAGCAAATCGAAATGGTCTTGGCTTGTTTCCGAGCAAGCTGAAGCCTTTCTTTCACCATCTTTCTTATGGGCACCCTGCTGTCGCCACTGCCCCACTGTGATCCGGTGATGTCCCCGTGGTCATTATGGTCTCGGGCGGCCCCGATAAGGGAGGCGGAGTGTGCAGCATGGAGGAGGGCCAACCACGCGGAAGTGACGCGAGGCGCCGCCATGTCTTTTGAGGGCGGCGACGGCGCCGGGCCGGCCATGCTGGCTACGGGCACGTGAGTGGAGGCGGCGTTGTGAACCGCGGTGTGGGGAGGATTTGGCCGTCCGGAGGAGAGGGGCGCTGGGAGGGCGAGCCGCTCGCGGGAGGGGTATGGCCTGAGTAGATCAGAGGGCAGAGATCTTCCAGCGACCCTACGCTGAGCGCTGGGAAGGGGTAGCCCGCGGGAACCGTTGTGTCTCACCGGAGGCAAAACCTAGACAGCCTTATCCTCCGGTCTGCAGACCCACTAGGATCCTTGCCTTGGTCGTGGACCATGTCCACAGGGTCTGGGGGTTGCTCGGGGGGACTCGGGGCTCCCTCACCCGTCCAAAGGCGGGACTTCCGGTCCTGGCCCCCCACCTGGGCGGGATTTCCTGTTTTCTTCCTAGAGAAGTGGGTCCTCCCTGGACCCCCGGGCGAGGTGGGGAGAAGGTTTCTGAGAGGTCGAGGAAGAGCCCAGGCCTTCACCTTTCCTCCGGCCTCGCGGGGTGGGGGCTGGGGGTCCACCCTCGAGTTTCTCCCACTTTGGGGCGGGGGTGCACTGCCAATTTGACAGGTGGTCGGAAGGGGGCTTAATTAGCATTCCTCCTTCCGTGGTGGACTTTTGCCTCTTTCCTCACCTCTTCCTAGAGTTATTTCTTTCAGTTCACCTCCTCATCTCATCCTAAAGGGCCAATTACCTTAGCTTTCCCCTCCCCCTCCTCTGGGGGACAAGTCTCACCTCTCTCCCTAATCCTAGGCTCCTCAAATTGGTTGGCTGAGGACCCTCCGTCCATCTCTGAGCTCCTTAGAGGATACAAGACTTCCTCCAGCAGCTGAAAGGGTAGAGTCTCCCCTGGTCTTGGCCACTCTACTTTTAAACAATTAATGCCAGAGAGCCCCCAGGCCTTGGCAGAGAAGTTGAGTTGCCCTCCTTGTATTTGCCCAGTCCTCCTCCTCTTTACAGTGGGAGGACCCTCACACCCACTCACCCCCATTACACTCTTTTCAATCCTGTAACTACTCTAAGATCTAGGACAGAGAGTTTAATCCTGATGTCCCAGAGATGTGAAAGCCCTAGGCCTAGCACTGCCAGGCTGTGTGACCTTGGGCCAGTCATTTCCCTGCCCTGAGCCTTGGTTTCCTCCTTCTGGTAGGTGAGACCCTGAGCACTTCTCAGTTCTATTGGATTTTGGAGTCAGGCAAACAGCAGAGTCAGCCCTGCTCTGACCCATTTAACTTCTGGGCCTCTGACCAATGCCTTAGGCTGTCTGAGCCTCACTTTCTCCATCTGAATGTAAACCTTTCCTGATAAGGAAGGCAAGATGGCATCTGGGATTAAGAACAGGCTCTCCTCTCCAGCCCCTTTTACCTCATTGAGATACTGAATCTCCCTAAGCCCTCGATGTGCAACCATGAAATAGGGTAATAACAGCCCCTCCCTCATAGGGTTGGGGAGAAGGTAGCATGAGAATGGTGATGATCCATTTGCATCCCTGCCTGGCATGTGGGAAGTGCAGGGTGAGTTTGCCATGGGGTCTGTCAGGAATGGTGCTGGTTGTGCCCTCACTGTGTGTGGCTTCCAGCAAGGGAAGTACTCTATGGGCTGTCTCATTAGTGAGACATTAGTGAGGTAACAGCTCCCACCTTAGTGGGTCAGGTGGGAGGTAAAATGAGAGGTGTAGACTCCCTACACAGAGTAAGTGCTCAGCAAACACTGGTTCATGTGATTATAAGTTGAAAAGGGCCTGCATATTGAAATCAAATAACCCTGGCTGGACTAGAACCTTGCTTGAATTCCTTCAATGTTGGGGTGCCCCCTACCTCCCTGAGGAGGCTTCTCGGCTTCCTAGCAGTCCTGGTTTAACCACTTTGATTTACAGGAAGAAGAAAATGAGACACAGAGAGGGCCAGTCAGTGGTCCAAGGTCACACAGCAGGTTTGAGATGGCCGGAAGCCAGCCCACTTGCCCTTGCTCTTTTCTCTCTCTCTCTCTTCTTTAAGTTTGTTTATTTATTTAAATAATCTCTACACCCTTTGTGGGGCTCTTGATTACAATCCCAAGATCTAGAGTTGCATGCTCTTCCAGTTGAGCTCGCCAGGCACCCCAACCCCTTGTTCTTTTCATTTCATAAGTAGATGCATCCAGTAGATTGTCTGCTTAGGACAGACCTGTTCCGGGGTACAGATCCCCGACCTTGGGGAGCTCAGATGTGTGATGGAGGAGGCAGACAGGTACAATTGTCACAAGCTCAAGTGACAGTGAGGTATAATGGATGTAGCCCAGGGCATTGTGGGTCTAGGGAAGGCATCTGGCAGAAAAGTCTTGTAGGAAATACAAAACTTCATGGATGGAGTCTAGGCACAGAGAGCAGCTTGCACACCATTTTCTGCTCCATCCCTGGTCTCTGAGGCCTGTCAGGTGCTGGGCAATGCTGGCAGCCCAGAGATTAATCCCACGGGCTCCCCCTCAGGTGGCTCCACAGTGGCTGGGGAGATGGAGGTGGATCCAAACAGTACTCCCCATAGGGATATGTGCTAGAATGGGAGGACTCTCAGACATTGTAGGAGTCCAGACAGTGGGGACTGAGCCAATCTGGGGTGAGGGGAAGCTCCTTCTACGCTAGGGTGAGAGAAAGGTCAACAAGTAATCAGAGAACAAGTTATCCAGGTATAGGGGGACCACTTAACTGCAGGTCTGAGGCCTCAGAAGTCTGGAAGGTTGTGAAGCTGAGTGCAGAGCCAGGGTTACGACCATGTCCTGGGGATACTAGGGAGAGGCAAGGGCAGTTCCAGTGTAGAAGGACCCCAAGGGGCCCGAACTGGAGGCTCAGAGGTTCAGGAAGAGGCTGGAATGATCGTCCTGCAGAAAAAGAATGCAGGCGAGGCATATAACTTCAAATCTTCTATAAGCTGCATTAAAAAAGTCAAAGGAAAACAGATAAAAGTCATTTTCGCCTTTTATCAACTAGCCATTATATCTGAGATGTCATCTTTTCCACATGTAATCAACCTCAGACTGCCAGTGAGATCTCTGATATCCAACCTTTTTTGTCCCAAGTCTTCCAAAATCCAGCGTGGGTTTCATACTCACGGCACCTCTCACCTTGGACCCGCCACATCTCAAGGGCTCCTTAGTCACACAGGTGGCGGGTGGTGCCCACATTGGACTAGGCAGGGCCAAGAGGAGGGGCGGGGGCTGTCTGTACTGGGCGTGGCGGGAGGAATGGGTCCGGAGGGTTGGGGACGGTGCTAGGAGGTGTGGATGGTGGGGAATGTGGGAGAGTGGCAGATTTCGGGGAAGGGGCTGAGCTCGGCCGGGACCAGGTAGCTGGGAGGGGTGGGAACGGTGTCTTGGGGCAGGTGGACACGTAGGGGCCAGGTGCAGACAGGGCAGCCAGCCGGGCCTCAGCTCTCTGTCCTGCTCTGCCCTGCAGGGCGTGGATGGCGTCGGGGCGCCCCGAGGAGCTGTGGGAGGCGGTGGTGGGGGCCGCCGAGCGCTTCCGGGCCCGGACAGGCACGGAGCTGGTGCTGCTGACTGCCGCGCCGCCCCCGCCACCCCGCCCAGGCCCCTGTGCCTACGCGGCCCATGGCCGTGGGGCCCTGGCTGAGGCTGCCCGCCGTTGCCTCCACGACATCGCCCTGGCCCATAGGGCTGCTGCTGCTGCCCGGCCCCCCGTGCCCCCGCCAGCACCACAGCCACCCAGCCCTGCTCGGAGTCCACCTCGGCCTGCCCCGGCCAAGGAGGAGGACGAAGAAGACGAGGAGGAGCGGACAGAGACGGAGACCTCTGGGGAGCGGCTGGGTGTCAGCGATGATGGAGGTGAGAGGGGTGGGGGCTGGGGTGGCTCTTGGGCTTGGCAAATGGCCTGCAAAGTCAGAATCCCGGAGGGGTGGGCCTCACCTGTCCCTGCGCCCCGGTGTTCTGTGGCAGCCCCAGGCTCAAAGAGCCTTGGAGCAGGCTGGCTTGACCTGGGCCCTGCTGTGCAACTTGGAGCAGGTCATTTCCCCTCTCCCAGCCTGTATGGTTACATGTTAACCGGGAGCCAGCTCTGTGCTAGGAGGTGCTAGACACAGACACAGAGCCAGCTTCGGCCCTTTTCTTGAGGGACTCCCAGTCCTGCCAAGGAATTGGTAGTCCAATGGGAGACCGTGCCCTGTGGCGACCATGGGGTCGGAACCTGAGCTGGGAGCTCGAGCAGAACGAGAGTTATTTCAAATCTGGGGTGCCTAGTGCTGGTGAGAAAGGTAGGAATTACAGAGGAGTCAGGAATGCAGGCCACAGCTTAAGGGAGCCAGGGGGAAAGCAACTGGCTGTTTTGAGGGGAATCAGGAGGTTGGATACTTCAGAGAGACTGGACTATAACATTAGGGCTTTGGAGAGTGATTAGGAGTTTGCGGGAGGGGTGTATGTGCCGTAAGTAGGACTTACTCCTGTGTTGTCACCATTAATGCTTTCTTCTTCATTGTTGCTGGGGGAGACCCGCCTAGGATTCAGGGCACAGACTCTGGAACCAGGAGGCCTGCATTCAAATCCTGGTGACTGAATATGCTGTACGAGCAGCATTATTAACTCTGGAACTTTGGGCAAGTGATTTGACTTCTCTTGTGCCTCCTGGTCCCCCTTTGTCAAACAGGGATCACAGTTGGCTCATGTTCTATCCGTCTGTATTTTGAGTCCTTTATCCCAAACAGATCTTGCAGATTTCATGTTTATCCAGCCAGTTGTTTTCACCTGAGGGCGTAACAGACAGAAACTGGATTTGTTTCTGCTGATGACCAGGCAGATAACCAAGGGGAGGGTGTTTGAGGCAGAGGGAATAATTCCAGAAGCCCTGAGGCTTTTGAGGGCCCGGCCGATGCAAGGAGTGGGGAGATGGTGGTGGTGGCACATGGGGTACAGTGGGGACCTGACTGGCCTGAGCCTCTAACCTCATTCATAGGGCTCTTTGTAATGGACGAGGATGCCACACTCCAGGACCTGCCCCCCTTCTGTGAGTCGGACCCTGAGAGCACAGATGGTAAGTGTCCCAGGCTGTCCCCACTCCGCCACCCCCAGGGTGCTGGGATGAAGGCAAGGACAGAGGCTGAAGACCATTGTCTCTCCCAGATGGCAGCCTGAGTGAGGAGACCCCTGCTGGCCCCCCCGCCTACTCCGTGCCCCCGGCCTCAGCCCTGCCCACGCAGCAGTATGCCAAGTCCCTGCCTGTGTCCGTGCCCGTCTGGGCCTTCAAGGAGAAGAGGCCAGAAGCACGGTCATCAGATGAAGAGAATGGGCCGGTGAGGGGCAGAAGGGAGAAAAAAAGGAGGGTGGAGGGAGGGACTCAGAGTCACTTCCTCCAGGAAGCCCTCTGGCATGGAAGCCACATTTCCTGGGCTTGATCTTGCCCTCCACCTCAGGAGGCAGATTTTTGGGCCAGAGCCCTAAAGCTTGAACTACTTCAGCCTTACAGTGTACCCCAGTGCCATGCAGAAAAGCCTCTTCTCGGTTTTAGGAACAGCTTCATTTATAGAATACCTGCTCCTGGCAAGGCACAGGTATTTTGGTATCCCCTCCAGAAGGGGAAACTGAGGCACAGAGGGGTTAGGTCATCTTCTGTCCCCACCCTGCGTGTTCCTGGCTCCTCCCCTACCTCCTCTTTCTCTGGCACAATCCTACAGGTGGCTTTCCTGGCCTGGCCTGGGTGGCTCCTCCTCACCCAGCGCTGAACTTCCTTGAGGCACCGGGAGTATCTGTGACTTCCCGGGATCTCAGCTTGGAAAGGGCAGAGCTGGGACTGGAACCCACCCTCCTTTTGGAAAGGAGTTACAGACTGCAAGGGAGGCAGCCCTGGAGTCCCATGGTCATCCTGTATCTCTCTCCCCCGTGCCCCCCCCCCCCCCCCCGCCCTCATTGACACATTAGCAGCATCCATCTGCCCTCTGCCTGTATTGCCAGTTAACAACATCTGAGGCCTGAGTGGTGGGGGTGCTGGTCTGACCTCTGAACCGGCTCAGGTCCAGCCTCTGTCCCTGGCCTCTCCCATTCTCCTGGAGGCTAGGCCCAGCTCAAGGTGTGGGGCCAAAAGGGAGATTGCACTAATTGCTGGAGCAGACAGAATGACAGAGCCCCTCCTGGGTGGAGGCCATGGTGAAACCAGGCCCCTTCCCTATAGCGCTGGCAACGTGGTAGCTCACACTTCTTGAGCACTCACTGTGCTGATTGTCTCAGGCGCTGTCATCAGCCGCACGTTTTAAAGGGGAGACTGAAGCCTCAGGAGATGAAATGCTTGTTGACAGCTACTCGTTGGCAGAGGCCCAACCCACATCCTTAGACATGACACCCCCTGGTATCTAGCCTTGATAGCAGAGAAACAGCACTTCCACTGTGTAAGAAGGAACTGAAGGATAGTGGGACGGGTAGCTGTTCTTACACGTAGAGTTAGGCCAAGAAGGGAAGGAAGAGAGGGCCAGGAAGGCTTCTTGGAGGAGGTGGTATTTGGGTTGGTTAGAAGGATCCTACAAGGAGCAAGATAGGGTAAAGGGCCTTCCTGGCAGTAGGCAAAAAGTGCTGGGGCGGGGCCGCGGCGGGCGCTGACCCCGCCCTGGTCTCGCAGCCCTCTTCGCCGGACCTGGACCGCATCGCGGCGAGCATGCGCGCGCTGGTGCTGCGGGAGGCCGAGGACACCCAGGTCTTCGGGGACCTGCCGCGGCCGCGGCTCAACACCAGCGACTTCCAGAAGCTGAAGCGGAAATACTGAGGCCCAGGGAGAGCGCTTCCAGGCCCAGCGTCCGCCCCGCCCCACACTACACCCCTGCCCCGCCCCTGGGCCCGGCCAATCCGAGTCAGACCCGGGACCGGCTTCTCAGGTTCCCGGGGTCCCAGGATTGCCCCTTCCCCGCCAATTCCCGCCGTCCTTCCAAGCCCACGACCCCCTCTCGCGCCGAGGAGCGGGACCTATCTAGTTTCCGGATTGGGTCTGTCGCTGCATTTTTTTTTGCCCAGCGACAGGTTCTTTCGATTAAGGGATTGGCTCGCTCCCGGACCGGGGCGTGGCTAGTTTTAAGCCCTCATAAGGGTCAACTGTCGTTTTCGCCCAGTGACAAGAGCTTCGCTCGCGCGGCATTGGTTGAAAAAGAACAGCCAAGCCACAGGATTGGGGAGTGGTAAGCCACTACAACCTAGAGAATAGGCAACTTCATTTGATTGGCTTGAACGTAAAGGGCTTGACCAATCTCCCGGAGTCGCCATCCCACCCTTCCTAGTTTGTCCCACCTGATAGGCTCCAGCCCTCTGGGCGCGTGGCCAAACCCTCCTAACCCCAGGATTGGCCTGCGGCCTTAAATTTACGTTCTTTACACTACTGGGACTGGGGTCGCTTTTGACCGAGTCCTGACTACGTGCCCCTCTACCCTCTCCCAGGGATGGCCCAATCCTGTCCCTGCGTCTGACACCCTCTTCGGTTCATCCCACAACAGCCTGCCAATCGTAGTCCGTCCTTGCAGTCAGGACGGCACCAGCTCCCGCCCCTCTCCCCCCACCCCCACAGGTGCCTTAAAGGGCCCTTGTCCACCCGAGGTGGGGGGCAGGGGCCCTCGCTCTCCGGCCCTTGTGTGGGGAAGAGAGTCGTGGGTGGGGATCGGGAGTTGGGAGCGGTGGTCTGAGATTAAAAGTTTTACCTCTGACAAAGGAGTATAGAGTGTGTTCATTCAACACTTTGAAGCCGAATGAGCAGCACCTAGTTGACTTTCAGTGTAAAGTTGGGAGTCGGAATTACTGTTCCCATTTTACAGATAAGAGATTCATGGGGTTGTAGGGGGAGATTCCAGTTCTGTGTGACCACTGATCCCCGATCTTTGGGGGGGTGAGTGTTGGAATGTGAATGGTCTTCAAAGCATCAGTGTTTGGAATCCACTCAGTCCCGACAGCCAGAAGCGACCAGCTGAGGCCAGAAGTTTTCTGCCTAATATAAGACAGCTGAAAGTTAGAGAACAAATGGCACCTGGTCCGAAGTCTGGCTGGGACAAGTAAACCTGGAATCTTCCTCTCCCATCAGACCACCACCTGGGACATGCTAGCAATAGACAAGACTTAAACAGAACTGCCAATCAACCACTTTTATTTTTTTTTAAATTTTTATTTATTTATGTATGATAGTCACAGAGAGAGAGGCAGAGACACAGGCAGAGGGAGAAGCAGGCTCCATGCACCGGGAGCCCGATGTGGGACTCGATCCCAGGTCCAGGGTCGCGCCCTGGGCCAAAGGCACGCGCCATATCGCTGCGCCACCCAGGGATCCCAATCAACCACTTTTATAAGACTAGTTCCATCTAGTAACTCTTCCTAGTAACCCCATGAAGGAGATCGATTATTCTCACTTTAAAGATGAGAAAATTGCAGTATTGAAGGTCAGGGCTGCTGTCGGGGGTGGACATTTCTTGGACTGATGATCTTCAAATGGAAAAGAAGTGTGTCCCGCTGTAACTAAGGGAATGAAATGAGTTCAAGGTGGAAAGAGGAAAATCTGTGAACAGAGGACCCACACCACCTATTAGTAGGAGCCTCCCCACTGCTGCAGGAGAGAGGAAGGTCAGAGCCGCGGAGGGCCGGAAGGAGCAGGTGGTCGGAGAAGGGGCGGGGCTTCCGTTGTGGGCGGAGCCAAAGCCCTGCCCCCTTCCGTAAGCGAGTCATTTCCGTCCGCCGAGGAACAGAAAACAGCCGGCGAGTTGTGGGCAGAGCGCCTCGGGCAGGAGTTCCCTGGTCGCAAGTGGGAAGTGAGTCCCGGTCCGGTACGGTGATTGCGGGGCCGAGCTGGGGGTGGGCGCGAGGTTCTTGGCTTTTGCCCTGGAATGTCCCGGTCGGGACTCGCCGCGGGACTGAGCGGGGCGTCGTCGCCTGGGAAACGGCGCGAGCCAGAGGCCGGCGAGGGGTGGGATTTCCGGAGCCCTAAGCGGAAGAAGGGAGAGTCCTGGTGGAGGGGGCGGGGGAGGCGGGACTTGCTGTAGCAGTTTGAGGGCGTTCTGCCACTCAAACCTGTTTACTTCCCCTTAGGCTGGCTCCTGGGATGGCCGAGGTGGAGACCCAGGGCCGCCTGTGGCTGGAGAGTCCCCCTGGGGGAGCGCCCCCCATCTTCCTGCCCACGGACGGGCAAGCCCTTGTCCTGGGCCGGGGACCCTTGACCCAGGTTACCGACCGGAAGTGCTCCAGAAACCAAGGTGGGCGGGGCCGTAGCTGTAGGGATTGTGGCTGCTCTGGAGTGTGAACGTGCTCTGCGGGAATGGTGGGCAGCCGGTGCAGTAAGGGAGCTCCTTGGCCGCCAGGCGAGATTGCGTAGTGTAGCTCGTCCTGAAATTAGGTGCCCTCGGGGGAGCATAAGAAGAGAACTGCTGTGCCTGGTCTGGAACTAGCCAGACAGACCCCTTAGTGGGGAGACAGTTGTCAGAGGACGATGCTCACAGGAAGGCTTAAGTCAGGTCATGACCCTTGCCAAGGAGAGAGCCGATGCTACGGTGAGAAGTAGTGGTTGCTAAGCAGGGCGAGGTGGTAACGAGCGTAGCCCAGGACCTGCACCCAGTCACACGCCTCATCAAGGAGAAATCAGTTCTGTACAGAAGAATGCCTCCTGCCGCTGGGCGAGGACCGGCGTCACAGGCAATTCTGAGGCCTCTCTCTGACTACTGCATGTAAAGAGAGAGCCGATCCCATTTAGAAATAAAGTGCTTTCCCGTCCCGAATGGCCTGAATGTCCCCATCCTGTGGCCTGAAGCTGGCCAAGCTCCCCAGTAGTGAGGAAGGCCGTCGCACAAGGATGCACATTCTCACTCCACCCTCTCAACCCTCAGTGGAGCTGGTCGCAGACCCCAGGACCAGGACCGTGGCAGTGAAACAGGTACCAGTTGCTCAGCAAGGCGCAGCGAGGCTTGGGGGAGGAATGGCAGCCCAGCGGGGAACAGGCTCATTGGAAAAACCCGGTTTGAGGGAAGGGGACGTGGCCAGCAGAGAAGGTTCGGGGTATTACCTTTTTCAACGCGTATCCATCCACGTTTGAATTGGGTTAAGGCTGGACGACCGTAAGTCTTCCACGTCCCTGATTGGTGGTACGCAGGGAGGAGGCGGGGCTTAAGGGTCTGATTGGCAGGTGGGGGAAGGCCGTCCTTCCTCTAATTCGTGGAGGTTCCGGTTGGAGGCCGGAGCCAATCCCAGCTCCTCCTCCTCCTCCTCCTCCACCTCCTCCTCCTCCTCCTCCTCCTCCTCCTCCTCCTCCTCCTCCTCTTCTCTCTCTGTCTCTCTCTGCAGCTGGGAATTAACCCCTCAACTGCTGGGACCCAGGAGCTGAGTCCAGGATCAGAAGGTTCTCTGAGGGTGGGGGACACGCTATATTTGGTCAACGGCCTCCACCCGCTAACCCTGCGCTGGGAAGAGGCCCGCACGCCTGTATCCCAGCAAGACACTCCACCCGGCACCGGCACCGTGGCTCCCCATGAGGCAGAGGCTGTTGAGCCACAGAAAAAACGGATGCGGAAGTCATCCCCGGGCTGGGAGAATTTCGAGAAGCTGCTAGTGTTTACAGCACCGGGGGTGAAGCCTCGGAGCAAGGTGAGAGCCAAGCTGAGGGAGCCACTCGGAGTTGGGGCTGAATGATGTGTGCTGTGTGCCCCTGGGCCATTCAACCTCTCTTAGTGGGCACTTTTTTGAGAAGTGGATCTGATGACAAGTTCAGAGGGTGTTGTAAGCCCTGGGGGCATCGATGTATGTCAGCTCCTGCTTGAGCCCCAGAAAGCACAGTAGTGAACACCATCATTTTCACAGGGACCCAGAGACCTGACCTCACAGTCCTCCCCCCCCCCCCGTCTTCCCACCCCCCAGTCCCCTGTAAAGTAATAAACCCAGAAAACCGCATGGCTCAGTACTCTACATGTGGTTTGCACCCAACTTCACTCCTGTTTTCATTTTCAGTTATTAGCCTGAAGTGAAGGCCAGGGGAGGTGGCTGAGTATGACGTGAACCCCATTTTAAAGGTTGGCATACCCAGGGGCATAGAGGACATAGGAGATGGTACAGTGAAGATCTTGGGCTCTGCACTCTGGTGGTAGGGACACATCCTTCCTGTGCCTTCCCCTAAACGTAAGATGTGTAGGCTGTGACTCAGTTTCCTATTTGGTGATGGGCAAGTGGTAATGTCTCTACGTTGCAGAGGTGACGTGATGTAGCCTGTGAGTCGAGATCAGAGGCATAATAGGGTCGCTGTTCCTCTTTTCTTGCTGACATCAGGTGGCTGGCTTTGATTTGGATGGGACCCTCATCACCACACGCTCTGGGAAAGTCTTTCCCACCGGCCCCACCGACTGGAGGTGATAAGAGGCAGACCCAGGGGGTGAGTGAGGCCCCCGTGGGCCCCAGGTCACCTACCTGCTTTCCCACCCACCCTAGGATCTTATACCTGGAGATTCCACGTAAGCTCCGGGAGCTGGATGCCGAAGGCTACAAGGTGTGTGCGCTTTTGTGCATGGAGACCAGGCCACAGGGAGGCCGGGGCTCCGGTGAGAAGGGTACCAGGTGACATCCCTATGCTTCCCCCCCCAGCTGGTGATCTTCACCAACCAGATGGCCATTGGGCGCGGGAAGCTGCCGGCAGAGGAGTTCAAGGCTAAAGTGGAGGCTGTGGTGGAGAAACTGGGCCTCCCCTTTCAGGTATGGCTGCAAGGGAGCTTGAGTCATAGAGGTTGGGGGACAGGGACCCAGACAGAGGCAGGGACAGAGTTAGTGTCACGGAGTCAGACCATGACAGAGAGGAGGGAACAGAGACCCAGGGAGAAGGCATACGCACCAGGGGGGGCAGCGGAGGCCCCCGGCAGGGTTATGCTGGTAGAAACCCATCATAAATGGGTTCTTGGGCATCTGGAGTCCTCTGAGTTGGTGAAGGGGTAGCATCCCTGGCACCCATGCACCCTTGAAGGATTTGGGGAAGGAGCCCAGGAGGGTGTCTGACCTTCACCCACAGGTGCTGGTGGCCACACACGCCGGCTTGTACCGGAAGCCAGTGATCGGCATGTGGGACCATCTGCAGGAGCAGGTGAGTGGTGGCCTCCCAGTAGCTCCCTTCTACCCTCACTCAGCCCAGCCACAGGTCTCTGCTGTTTGGCCACCTCCTCTCTCCTCTTCTCATCTCATTCCCTGGTCCTTGCCTCCTTTTCCACCAGTCCCAGTCTAGGTACAGGCGGATGGCACTCTTCAACTCTGAAGATCAGGATGGTCCAGGGACACATCAGTTGTCCATGTATTCTCTTGTGTGTGCCTTTGTTCTGAAGCTCAACAGCTTCTTGAGCTGAATTTGTTAGCGTATGAGACAGACCTGCTGGGGCTCACATACCAGCGAGGGTGCAGACTAGAGGTGCACAGACTGGGTGTGAAATGGTGGGAGTGAAGTGAGGTGAGGCAGGGTTTACCTACAAGGGTTAGGTAGGCCTCTCCAAGGTGCCCTTGGAATTATGAAGCTAGTGAGGGAGGGAGCCTCGCCGGGGAACCTAGGAAGAGCTTCCAGGTGGGAGTAACAGCATGTGTAAAGCACATGTAGGGATCCCTGGGTGGCGCAGCGGTTTGGCGCCTGCCTTTGGCCCAGGGCGCGATCCTGGAGACCCAGGATCGAATCCCACATCGGGCTCCCGGTACATGGAGCCTGCTTCTCCCTCTGCCTGTGTCTCTGCCTCTCTCTCTCTCTGTGACTATCATAAATAAATAAAAATTAAAAAAAAAATAAAATAAAATAAAGCACATGTAAAGGCCCCGAGGCAGGGCTATGACTAGAGTGTTCAGGGACAGTGAAGAGGCCTGGGTAGCAGGACCTGAATGGATGATGGGGTAAGGGTGGGGCATGGGGTCAGAGATCGGGCAGGTGTCAGATCGTGAGGCCTTGTGGGTAAGGTAAGGGCTTCCCTTTTACCCAGCCAGGGGGCAAAGGGATGGGGCCCAGGAGGGCTGGGAGGAGAGGAATCTACAGAAGTGGGAACTGGCACTCCCCTGGTGGCTGTGTAGGGAACAGACGCAACGGGGATGGAACAGTGAAGGGGGGTGGGAAGTGGCCCAGCAGTGGCAGCGCCACCAGGATATGATGCTGAACTGGGGCAGGAGAGGCCAGACGTCAGGCCCAGCTCAGCATCCTCGCGACCCCCATTAGTATTCTAGGGGAACAGGCATGGGAGTGAGTGGGTTCCTTACTGCCTGTTGTCACCTGTCCCTCCCTAGGGCAACGAAGGTGTGCCTGTCTCCATCAGGGACAGCATGTTCGTGGGAGGTAAGGACCCAGGGATGGGGAGTGTGTGGATCCCCTCGGCTGGGCCGCTGGTGGACATGGAGCTTCTGTCCCAGATGCAGCTGGACGACCAGCCAACTGGGCCCCTGGCCGAAAGAAGAAAGACTTCTCTTGTGCAGACCGTCTGGTGAGGCTCCTTTCCCCTGCTGGCCTGGAGCTGTGTCCCCACCTTATCTGATGTCTGTGTCCCCTGTCGTCCCCTCCCCCCCAGTTTGCTCTCAACCTTGGCCTGCCCTTCGCCACACCAGAGGAGTTCTTTCTCAAGTGGCCCATTGCCAACTTCGTGCTCCCCACCTTTGACCCGGTGAGGCCCTCGGGGTGGGAGTGGGAGTCGGGAGAGGAGGAGAGGGTCTTGCTCATCACTACCACCCCTCCCAGAGAACCGTCTCCCCCTCGGGGCCACTGTGCCTCCCGGAGTCCAGCTCCCTCTTGAGCTACGACCCTGAAGTGGTTGTCGCCGTGGGATTTCCTGGGGGTGAGACACCTTGACCCCTTGACCTCAGAAGCCCCAGTCCGGCTCTGGGTCCTTGGGCCCCCACTGACCTTGCCCCTGCCTCACAGCTGGCAAGTCCACCTTCCTCCAAGAGCATCTGGTGTCAGCAGGATACGTGCACGTGAACAGGGTGAGACAGACTCCCCCCCCCCCCCATGTGCCCAGGCTGAGCACAGAGTCCCTGATCCTTCCATCTTCTGTGCCCATTCCCTACCCCACCTAGGTTTCTACTGCCCTCTTCCACTCAGGGTCTGTCACCTTGTATCCCCCAGGACACCCTGGGCTCATGGCAGCGCTGCGTGACCACGTGTGAGAATGCTCTAAAGCAGAGGAAACGGGTTGTGATCGACAACACAAACCCAGACCCTCCGACCCGGGCCAGGTACTGGGCTCCCATGGGCAGCCTCTATAGGGTGGGCTCAGCACCCCTTACCAGCCTGGCCCCTTCTTGGCCCCAACAGGTACATTAAGTGTGCCCGAGACGCAGGTGTGCCCTGCCGCTGCTTCCTCTTCAGCACCACCCTGGAGCACGCACGCCACAATAACCGGGTAAGCTGGCCCCTGCCCCTGCCGTCCCGACCCCCTCCAGGCCCCCAATTCCCAGACCTGACCCCAACCCCCACTCCCTACAGTTCCGAGAGATGACGGGCTCCTCTCACGCCCCCGTGTCCGACGTGGTCATGTATGGCTACAGGTAAACACAGAAGCCTGGTGAGGAGGTGGGGGGTGGACCGGACCCCAGCTGGGTCTCACCTTCCCCCATCACCCCTGCTGCCAGAAAGCAGTTCGAGGCCCCGACCCTGGCAGAAGGATTTTCGGCAATCCTGGAAATCCCGTTCCGGCTGAACCTGGAGCCTCGGCTCAAACGGCTCTACTGCCAGTTCTCAGAGGGCTGAGCTGCGCCTCCCCCCGCCACCCCCTGCCCCCAATAAATTGTTGTTTTTTTTTTTTAAGCTTGGGCAGCATCATGCTGGAAATAAGGGTGGTCTACCCAGTGAGGATAGGCACCCGGGCGAGTCCCTGGGGACTGGGGAGCACAGACCTGCCGGCCTCCCAGGCCTCGGGGCACGGACCCCCAGGGATCTGCGCTGAGCTGCGCACTCAGACCACAGGCCTTTCCCAGGGAGGGTAGTTTAGGGTCCTGTGGCTGTGGGCACCCTAAACAGAGGGTAGGGAATCCAGAGGGGCAGGGCCCAAAGGCGTGTGGGGTGGGGGTGGGGGTGGGGGCGGGGGCTTTTCCCCACCCGGGGGCTGCCCAGCTGCAGAGCCAGCCAAGGAGCACCCATGATGTGACCCTGAGGGACAAGAGCTGGATCCCGAATCTGGTGAGTGAGGAATGGCAGCCCAGACCTGACCAGTAGGGGGCGCTGCTGAGAGCCCTGCCAGGCCCCAAGCCCCCAGCAAGTCCTGGATGGCCTGTGCTTGCTGCCAGCCAAGTGAGGCCTGTTGAATCCCAAAGGATGGAGGAGAGCAGGTCCTGGGCCCAGGAATACAGCCAGCCAGCTCCAGGGAGGCCCAGGAAGATGGGGCCACCATTCGCTGCGTGGGCCAGTCAGCTGGGGACACACCTGCCCCTGAAGGCACAAGCAGCTCTGTGAAGAGTGTCCTTCCTTCTAGCTCAGGTGACCATGATCTCAAAGGTGGCCTCCCCCAGAAATCTGATGGAAATTCATACTCCTGGGTCCCATCAAGCTGAGGGACTCTAGCCTAGGGCAGGGGGCCTTAGGCCATCAGCCTTCTGGGAACCCATGGCGCTCGGCTCCACTGGCATCTCCCCTGCCAAGGCATCTGGACACGGAGCCTAATGGCCAACGGGCTTTTAAAAGACTTTATTGGGGAAACGTACAGGGGTGGGGACCGTCTGCGGAGACCTCTCCGGACGCTGTCCTCCATCTCGCTGGGCAGTAGCCATCCCCAGGGGCCCCTGCTCAGAAGCATCTGACCTGGGGGCAGGAGGAGAGTGGGAGGGCCTGGACAGGGCCTCCCAGCACCCCATGGGCCCTCCAATCCCAGCCTGGAAACCACAGCTTCACCACTTCCTGGGGGAGAGAGGGCTATACTTGCCCAGGAGACCTGGGACCACAAGGCACAGATAAGCCTCTCTGCTTGGAATTCCACACCAGGGTCACATGATCACATCCCAAACCCGGACACCACTGAGGGTCCCTCCTGTGCTCAAGCCGGGTGCTACTCACCAGTTTTGGCGGGGGCCTCGTCTGTGACTCCTGGAGGGGCCCAGCCTGGGGGTGGCCACTACCCCCCCATCTGTGGGGTAGGAAAGTGGGGAGGAGGCATCAGTGGCAGGGGTCAGGGTGAGGAGGGGTAGCTGGGGCAGGGGACTGAGGGGAGAGCTCGCCGCCTCACCCCGCGCTGCTGCTGCTCCTGCTCCAGGTTCCGCTGCAGGACTTGCTGCTGGTTGGCGATGACACGCCGGATGCCGTTGACGAAGTTGCTCTGGTCGTGGGGAATGAGGCCGATGAAGATCTTCTTCTCCGACGAGTACAGGAGCATGAGCACGCGCACCTCGCACGACGCCTTGTAGGAAAAGTGCACGCAGCCGGCCTGGTGGACGCAGAGCAGGTGGGTTATGGTCGGACCACCCCCCCGCCCTCAGGGGCTTGAGCACAGGCCAGTGCTCCTGAGACTTGAAGCACACGGCGCACCAATGCATCCTGAAAGCCGTCCTCATACCCCTGGTGTCACTCCTGCTCAGGGACAAGGGGACAGAAACCAACAACAGCCCAGGGACCAATGGGCTCTGCACGGAGGGACTGAGGAGCTGGCAGCACAACAGCCAAGCTCCCCACTAGCGGACAGGCGAGCACGCAGAGCTGCCCCACAGCACCTGGTGGCTGTGACCCACGGAGGCCACACGAGATGCACGGGCCAATCAGGCCCCAGGAAGCCCAGCACTAAGATCCCCCACGTGCAGCCCTGGAGCAGCTGAAGTGCTGACCATGAGCCCCCCACTGGCAGGGACCCTGCTGTCGTGTCTCTCCCTCCCCCCAGCCCTGAGACATGGCTGAAGTAACAGCAGTGATGCCTGCTCGAAGGAAGAGGCCCAAGGGCCAGGGCTGTTTTACTGGACAACCTCCCCACAAAAGACTCTCCATAGCCCAGGTCACCACCCTACTACAGGTGGGCAAACTGAGGCTCAGAGCTGGAGGACTCACAGCAAGCCCCTGGAACCAGAAGGGCCAAGCCCTCCCTGTGCGTTACCTTGGGGGACCATGTGGCAGGTGCCCAGAGGGAAGCCCTTCCAAAGCGCGCCCGCCCCACGCACCTACCTGAGCGGCCGCAGCACACAGGGAGCGGGGCCTCTGCAGGCTCCCCTGAGGAACTCTGCTGCTCAATTTTTTTTAATACAAAAGAAACACGTGGGCTTCCCCTCAGCGCACAGTCGCAGGGCTGCAGTCAGACGGGCTGCAGGACAGACGCTGGCCCGGTGCAGCGACACCCACAGAGTGCACGGACAGTGGTGCTTCATGAGCACCAGAGCACAACACACCTCACCTCACAGATGGAGAAACTGAGGCCAGTGCTCTGAGGGCTGGGGCTGGAAGCAGGTGGCCCTCCCTGCCTGGCAAGGTGCCTCCAGGAGCCTTGGGTTTTCCTCTAGAAAATGGGCATGGACAGTGGCTCCCTGTCACTAGGGAGAGCAGGAGGAAGGCCCTGGGGGCACTGGATCCTCGCTCCGTGGTACCAGCTCCTTGACACTGAGTCAATCTTGGAGGCCTGCACCAGGCGGGGTGCACATCCCAGCCTCAGGCACTACCTCTGGGCCTCAGTTTCCCCATCTGTAAAATGGGGTCAGGACAGCACAGAGCCTCAGGGAGTCATGTGCCTGAGAGGCAGCACGTGTCCAAACCCAAAGCCAACCTGCTGTCACTGGGGAGCCACCCCTGCACACTCCCCCAAGCTGGTCTGGAGGAACAGTCACAGGCTCTCATCTCCTAGTTCTTAAACCCAAAAGGGAACCGGCCTCTGCGCACCAGCCGGGCCCTCCTCGTCAGCCCCTTGCCCCACTCACAAAGCCATTGTCCATGATCCGGCACAGGCTCTTCAGTGTCTCCAGGTCCTTGGTGAAGTGGAACTGGACCAGGCGCGAGTTCCGAAACAGTGGTACCAGGGTTGTCTGCAGGGAAGGCGGTATGGCTCATGACAAAAGAACCCTGAGCGAGCCACAGCCACAGCCACACTGTCCTGCCTCTGCACGGTCCCCACATGGCAGCTGCCACTGCCTCCATAGGCCTCACCCCAACGGACCACCTTGGACGGTTCCCGAGTTTGACCTCCCTCATCAAGCCGGTCTCCACACCTGCCTGCACTTGTTGGATGGACCAGCCACTGGGCCCTTGCACATGCTCTCTAGAAGGTTCTCTAGCTTTTCTTTAGGGAAAGCACTGTGGCCCCAAGGCCTACACCAGCTGTCTCACAGGTGGGGCGGGCCCAGGGCCTCCCTTCACTCTCACCAGCAGCTGCTGTGGGATGAGCTGCATGTACAGCTTCCTTGGCCACTGCTCAGTCCTCCTGCGGGGCATGAGGGGACCAGGGTCAGGAAGCCGGGCCTCGACAAGACCCTGCCTTGGCCCCCAGCCCGACACTCACAGGATCTCCCCTTGGTTCACGTAGACGTGTGATGGCAGCCACCTCTTGGACCGACTGTTGGGCTCAGGCCTGGGCTTTTGGGGAGAGGAAGAAAGTGACATCAGCAGTGGGAGGTGCCCCAGTCAGCAAGGATGCACTGGTCTTATGGGCACCCAGGTACCCCCCCAGGACTCACCTCTTGCCACTCCATGACTCCACTCCACGCTAGGAACTTGTTGTTGACGATCTGCACTGGGCCCGCGACACCACCAGGGCCCACTGCCTGTGGGAGCAAAAGCAGGGGACCAGTGCCCAGGAGCGCTCCAGGGGAGGCTTCTGGGAAACCTCAGCGCTGACCCCAGGACCCTCACCCCCAGCTTCCTCTCCAGATCCTCAGCCTCCAGAGAGTCTGTCCACAGTCCCAGAGGACTCCCCCACCCCCGATGTTGGCCCTGTCCTCACCTGCTCGAGACCTCCCATGGCTCCCAAAGGCCCTGAAAACAAGTCTCAGATGCTCAACCTGGGGTACCAAGCCCAAAGGGTCTGCCTCTAAGACTGAACAGCCCCAGAGTTCACTGCACCCAACCGAGACACACTGCTGGGGAGGAGGACAATATTCATAAATAACTTGCAAGGGGTGAGCCACAACACGGCCCCCCTCCAGAGCCTTCCAGCCAGCCACATAGCGTTCCCCACAAGCCTTCGTGCCTGCCTATCTACGTCCCTGCTCTGCTCCCACATGGGTGTCCCTCCTGTCAGCGACCACGGTCATCCCCACCCCCTCCTTGCTCTTCAAGGCTTCATTGACCTGTCCACTGCCTGGGACCCGAGGGCTGGCCTGGGCTCCGCCAGCACCAACCTGTTTGCGCGTGGTGATGACCTGCCGGATGGCATTGACGAAGCCGCTCTGGTCATAGGGGATGAGGCCCATGAAGATCTTCTTCTTGGACGAGTACAGGAGCATGAGTACGCGCACCTCGCAGGGGGAGATGTGGGGAAAGAGCATACACCCCGCCTGGGAGGAGCGGGGAGCAGGAAGGCAGTGAGGCACCCCGGGGCACTGCCACCCACCCCTCCAAGCTAACCTGAGGCTGCTCTGTCCTCAAAGTCAACACCAAAGAGAAGCCAGAGACCAAAACATGTTGCAAGAGGGGGTGACCGGACATCTCCGTGTCCCCTCCTGGGCAATCTGTGGTCAGGGGCCCGGGCCCCACCCTACAGGTACAAGGAGCCTGAGAGGGATGCATCTCCCACCCCTGTCCCCCTCTCAATGCCAGCCCCGTCTCTTAGAGCAGGACCCGCCTGCTAATTAGGCCAGAACGTCCTCCAGGGAGGCCCTGGGCACAGACCCAGCTCTGCTTCCTCCTAGCTGGGCGCTCAGACACGAATCCCCTATTCCCGGACCTCAGTTTTCCCGTCTGTAAAATGGTTTCACAGGAGCCTCCAGAGACAGCACCACATAAATATTTGTTATTTGAGATGCTAGTGCCTCCTCAGTGGGACATGGGAAGAGCTAGGAATCTGACAGACGAGACTCCTCCCTCGGGGCTGTCAGAACAAAGGGGCGTACGCTTCGGAGAATACCCCACGCTGCCTGCCTGACATCTCT